TTGCACACAGGAAACTGAAACACGTAGATTAAAGCCAAAATTATCAAACATGTCAACCAATTGGAGGTTTTGGGGTTTTTTAGAAAAGTCTTATGTGACATTTTGCAGGGTTGTTGGTTGTAGCCATGTTGGTCTAAGGACAAAGGCAGACAAGGTTCTTTGGATAGATGTGATTGATATCTTTTATTAGAGAAACCAAAGAGTTGGGAAAAGTTCTTTGCAAGCTTTCAGGCACAAACACCCTTCCTCAGGCATTGGGAGACACTGCTGCTGGTCTCTTATGTGACATTTGTCTTATGCCTTATGTGACATTTTAGCATTTAATATGTTTAAAACATCCACTAACCTTGGTTGCAGTTATGAGTAACCACCAGTTCTGCAAAGGACACCCCAGGTATCTAATGGTAAGTACTGAGAAAACATGGAACACACCCTGACCATTTTGACAATTTTGGCTTACGTGACCAAAGCATCAGATAAGAACGGTGTTTTTTCTCTCCCATCCCCTGGTGCCATTTTCCAGCTCCCAGCTCTTGCTTCTAACCTCTCTCCCACACTTTGTCTTTCCCATCTCTACACCACTCCTTACTCTCTGCATTCATGTCTGATTGCTTAATTTTTCTCAGTGAGTCCTAGGCACCATCAGGAAAAGCATTCAGTATGAAAGACACAGTTTCTTTGCTCCTTTCAGTGCCCAGTATCACAGAAGCCTGAAGTCATTAAAAGGAGAAACTACAGGGTCCTGCTTAGCCCCTGCAGCCCTCTTCTGCAGGGTTGTCAACTGTGCCGAGGGTGTGAGCCACCAGGCACTTCCCTCCAGGCATCCTCCTCACTGTACAGGCCGTGCCAGCAGCATGTGGCCCCTCTGCTGTGAAGGCTGTGCTGACAGCATCCAGACCCGACCCCCACCCTGTCCACTGGCAGCTCCCTGCTGTGAGGTACGATGGCGGCATGCAGCCTTGTTCTGTATGATCTGCACAGGTGGCCCATGGACCTGCAGGCACTTCCCTGCTGTTTGGCAGTGAAGAAGGTTGCTGCCGGGGTCTGTGGGCTGCACATAAACTGCTTGCAGGTGGCATCCAGTCTGTGGGCCACCAACTGGAGAGCTCAGCTTTACTGCTACTGAGATAAATATTATTCACGATGGCACATATGCAATCTGGCATGCAGAACAGGCAAAATCTTCTGAGAATTTAGCTGCCAAATTCTAAGTGTGAGCAGTATGTGTGAAGTGAGATTTCTTCAGAAACGCATAACTTGGTCAAATCTAAGCAATTAGCAATGATAACAAAATAAATAATAAAACTAAACTTTTTAAAGTGTTTTATATCAGTAGATCTCAAAGCTGTTTCCAAAGAAAGCACTTTCCTAACACTATGATAGGCCCCCTAGGCCAATTTTCGAAGCTTTATTCCAAAATACGGAGTCACTAGAGGTTTGAATTGAACTGGTTGAAAGCACTTCTATACTCTAACGTGGCAAAACACCATGTTGTCCCCTAAACTTGTTTCCAAAAATTGTACAGCAATTAGAGTTGAAACTTTCCCTCCCAAAAATTTAAGAAATAAATATCTGGCTTAAGCAGATACCCAGCATAGAAAATGTCAGTACTAATAGTTTAAAATTGGTAAAGTTTTAACCTGAAAACAGGACCTTATTGAAGTGTTGAACAGTCTTAACTATAGTCACTGCAACTTGTTCTGTTTATATTAGGCATTTAGGAAGGTCAAAACAAAAGAATAATAGACAAAACTTGTTTTTTCTTTTAAATAAATGATGTTAACTGCACTTTTGTTTCCAGGATGTATGCAGGTAAATACATCCAGTTCGGAGAAATCTACCTAGTGGAGGAATAGCACCAACATAAATTAATATTAAAAGTATAAATTCAATCTTACTATTATGGTGCTTCAACAAACTACAAAAAGGGGTGACAATGGGAGTCTGTTGATCCAGGGAACCATTTTACATCACATAGCATCTGCCTCGTTTCCCTAAACTCGTTCTGTTCTTCAGTGTAGCTTTCTGATGCCTCTTGAACTAGATGAAAAACAAGGTGCTGAAGGGTAGGAATATAAGCCACCGTTTTTGTCTGGTTAGGTTTTGTCTCATTTCAGGCATTGAAAATGACAAGAAAAAGATTATATTTGGAAGAAATATAATTTCTCAAGAGTCATAAATCCAAGCTGCAAAACTATTGCTTATGTCAGCAATTTCCACAGCAGATGCTTGTCAAGAAATTTTCTAACCTAAGCCAATTTTCTAGGAAATCATTGATAACCATCTTATAACCCTTTTAAAACTTTCATATAGAAAAAACATGTAACCCTTTTTAAGCTTTAATATAGAATAACTATTGAATGTACTATGCAGCTAGAAATGTAAACGACTGAACTTAGAGTGATGAATATCATTTTAGTCTCCAAACATATTTGTAACTTCAGGTAAATCGCTTTCACTCAAAATGTTTGTAGGCTCTAAAAGTTGTAGGACCATGAAAGGACTGGATAGCCTGGGAAGCTGAAAAAGGTCCGGGCATTCTTTCAACTTTGTAAGTATTTACAAAGTATCTATCACCTTGGAATCCAGGTGCTTTTCACCTTTAGGTATTGGTTTCAATCTAATGTGGTTTGCTGCTAATTGCAAGTCATCATCATTTAGGCGGTGAATGAAGGAATTGGCCAGCTTTTCGTAGTTCATAAAGACCACGTTTGCACAACACTAAATGAGTTCCTGTGGATACAGCATGGAGCTGAGATTTGGGACATCTTGGGCTCTAATCCTGTTTCTGCCACTGCCTCCCTGTGTGATCTTGGGCAAACAATTTTTCCACTTTCTTCTGCTGTTCCCACTCCTACCTGCTGTTTCAAACTATAAGCTCTTTAGGGTAAAGACCATCCACCACAATGTATTTGTGCAGGACTCGGTACAATGGCACCCTGATTTCTCAGAATTACTTCTACTATATATAACTTAATAATAATAGTAACAATCACAATAATAACACCTAAGTCTAATCTCAGGGGTCACAAAAAGAATGGACAGACAAATTTAGCAATCCCATTAACTTGTAAAGATAAGTGTAAAAAAGTCTCTATGCTCCACCAGTTTTAAGTTCTAATCATCAAAAATTATTTCCCTTGTATGAATCGAACTACAGGTTCAGCCTTTTATTCAGTGCTGTTTACAAATATATGTTATCCAGATCAAATCCAGTGTCCATTTTCTTATGAATAAATGTTATAAAATGTAATAGGAATTAAGCCAGTAGAAATATCTGAATGATATGCAATTACAAAACACCACCCATATAATTTAATAAAAAGCCTGTCCCCTTTGTCTCTCTGTTTTAAACCAGCTTCAATAATTCTTTAGTAGGAATATAATAATATACAGGCAATTGTCGATCATTGGTATTGTGGTGTGCGCAGTCAGGTGCCTGATGAATCTGCTTGTGGCTGACGAGCCTAATTCAAGAGCAACACAGCTTGTTACAAGTTTCATAGATCTGTGCATTGTCTGATTTGGAGTCCACGTTTACAGAATGCTGCTTTCTCCTTTCTCACATTGTTTCCACCCTCTAGATCAGAGCAGCATCACGTTGTGCTGCACCCAGTGCCAAATGCTCCCATCAGACAGGAGGGGATTGATTATGCATGCTCCTCCAAGCTTTCTACATTGATATTGAAAGACTTTGTATCATTATTGCAAACACTGTGGTACCACTATAGAGGGAAAACCTACTTTCTAGAGCTGTCTTGAATCTCACTGTACAAAATATTCTTGGGAATAGAGTCTCCTCCCATTCTTCTAACATGGTTGATCCATTGCAACCTCCTCTTCTTGATAATGGATTCTAGGTGTGTTAGTCCCACACGCTCCAGAGCCTCTGTGTTTGGTATTCTGTTTCTCACTTTATTTTCAGGATCTTATGCAGGCATCTCATGAGGAAGCTGTTCAGTCTCTTAATGTGCCTTAGCATATGTAGTCCATGTAGTCCATATGTAGTCTGAACCATAACGCAGGGATAACTGCAGGCAAGGAATTATTTATTATTTCATCAGGATTGATTTGAAATCTGCAAATAAGTTATTTTTTACACAGTCTGAATGACTGATAAAATCAGTTTTTCATGGTAGTACTCTGTCTGCCACTACAAGAAAGCAGCAGGATGTCATAAAGTAAGAGTTCAGTCAAATTTTAACTTGTAGTTGAGTTTCAAAGGTACCACTGGCATTGGTAGGTGTTTGGCAAAGTCGGTCCCTAGAGTTCTCTCTCTCCTCTACCGGTTTGTGTATCTGTATTTTTATTAGGTCAGACTTTCAGCACAGTGTTGTTAAAACTGATTTATGCTGTACAATGTATAGTGCAGTGTGTAGGTAAGTTTGAGTTATATAACATCCTGTTCCACCTTCTGCCAGTATTTTGCTGCGGAAGTGCTGCAGGACTATTCATAATGTTAAAACATCCCAAACCTGTACCCTTTTTATTTTACCAAATAACAGCCAGAAGTCATATACATTCAGTCCAGCATATTCTGATCCTGTAGAAATACTTGATAGTACAAAAGCCACATGTTAAGTTTAATAGCTTACAGTTTTGCCTTGAATGGGCACTACTTCGCAGCTACTTTAGAAGAGGGAAAGCATTTGGGCATTGGCAAGGACCACAATGCTTTTGGGGAACCTTAAGTATGTGCTTCAGAATTCTTTCAGAAGGGACAAAAGGGGTAGGGGGGACTTCCTGTCATTTCCATTGCTTTCTGCATGTGGGACCAATATGGGCAATGCAAAGTTTAAACAGTTGCAAATGGGGGAAGGGAACATGATGCCTTGTTTAACATATTTCTCCCTGCCTGGGTTGAATTTAAAGCAAAGTTGTTCCATTGTTCACAGGACCCCTTGCCCCATATACATTGACAGAAGCTACTGTTTACATGGACCTTTCATTCCTTCATTGTTTACTTATGGAAAACAAGGGGGAGTGACAAAAAGAGGGGAAAGAGGGAGGCACTGACCACAGTGCAGAACCAGTAACCTTGTCTTATGTGATCATTAACCTTGCTGGAAAATGCAGCTGGCAGTTCACTCTGTTAGCTGGTCATAGGATGTGAGGGAGACACACAGGCACTGCGGAGCCTTGCAAGGATTTTTTGATCTGCTCCAAGTATTATTAAATACCAGTTCTACTTGCTGTGACTGCAAGATGAGATTCCCGCAGCTCCTTCACATTGTGTTTTTCCTCTTGCTGAGTCTACTCCTTACCGCTGGCCAGAGACCAGGTAGGAATTGTATCTTAACATTACTTTGTATTAATCTGCATGCCTTAGGAAAGCACGTGGTAGACTTAAGATTAGTTTCTTGCTGTGAGATTTTTCAGGATTTTTAGGTACTGTACTACATTGGGATGTTTTTCTTTAAAAGCCCAATATATAACAGTAGTAGAGAGGATGCAACCATACACCTGATCACTTTTAAATACTAGGAGGTCAAAAGATACTGGACTCAAAGCAGACAGATATGGCATTGCGATTCAAAACAAAGCACCATCAGATGCGCAGTTCAGCTCCTCAACTGGGCAGCAACTACTCAGCTACATGGTACATTATCTTGGTATGGAGCATCCAAGGCATTTTAGCTTCAGCTTTTACAACAGAGTTGTCGCTATGCCCTGATAAAAATCACAATGCAACAGAATGAAGCTGAGCTGAAGGCAGGTCAATAGCAATCATTGCTAGGTTGAGATGGGCAGATTGGGACACTTAAGGAGCAATCCATATGCAAAAAGGTTGTAGAACTGTTGTGAGCATTGAGTTGGAGGGGAAAGAAAGTTCTACCTGGCTTAAGTGCAGGTTTACTTACTGCTTTCCATGGAAGATTAAGCCATAATCAAAACAGGTACCTGGTATGTCACAAACTTAACATATAGTCAGGGTTTTGGAAGGATAACATACAGAATCACAAGTCTAAGTAGTAGTTGGGCTCTAATCCTGTTTCTGCCACTGTCTCCCTGCCTGATCTTGGGCAAACTCTTATAGCCCTCATAGTTAGGCAGTTCAGGTAATTATACCAGCAGTCACTCCTTCCAAAGGAAATTCACTTTTCTGCTCAAGGCAAAGCGGGGAACCAAGGATCAATGTAGCCCAGTACTGCTTGCATTGCTGACTCTGCTGTTAAGTTTAATCCAGCTGAGAAAGAAGCATCTCAGATGTGGTCCCCCTTCCAAGCAAAGAGATGAGAGCTGCACTTGGTACTATGTCTGAGATGGGAAGGAATCAATGATTTTGTTAATGAATATTCTAAAAAAGGTGGACATTAAGGACAAGGAGGGGAAGGTCTGAGAAAATGGAAAATGCAGTGTCAGAAGTCTGTCCACCTTTCTGTTGCTTTCCTGTTTAATACTCAGCAGTACTTTACTAGCCACAGATCCCTAGCTATCAGCCAGAGGGGAATCTTTAACTCGGTTGTTCAGTGAACCCTGCTTCCCATATTCTTCGCAGTCATCAGTTGATTTGGGGAAAAAAAATCAAACAATCACTGAAGCCTCTTGCTATTCCAACCCTGTAATCTGACTTTCTCTTCTGACTTTCAGCTAACCTGGTCCTGCGCAGAAAGCTACACAGACACAACTGCGCTCACAGGAGATGCATGCCTCTCCACTCCAGAGTGCCTTTCCCCTGAGGGATCTTCAAGCTGGTGTTGCTTTGCTAAATTTAGGTGATGGTAATTCATAAGTGTTTGGTAATAAAATCAGGCGCCAGGAGGATGCAATTATCAAAGCCTCTCCCTGCATTTCTCTGGAAAGGCTAAGTAGGCAGCTGAGCGCACTCTTCAGGAAAAGCACATTTCTAAATTATACCTAGGTTTCAAAACAGCTGGAGGTACATTTTACTAACCAAACCACAGACATGATTTAACTTGGTCTCAAGTCTTTGTGATTGGTACTGAAAATAGGGCTTTAAAAAGTCATGGGGGGAAAAAGCAGTATTTGTTTAAACTCCGTAGGAATCCAGTTTCAGTAGGGACACTAGACATGACTCCAGTGTGCTCTGCAGAGCATATGTTGCATGGGAGTGAATGAATTCCTGATAAGAGATTGTCCTGCCTTAATTTTCCAGCTTCACCTCTCAATAGGCAAGTACAAACTCCCTTCTTTTCTCAGGCATTCAAGACTGAAAACTCTTGGGTCTGTTAGACCTGAAAGGCTCTTTTGCTAAAAACATCTTGCAGTGCAATTATTTTCCTTTTTGCAATTTGTCTTTCAGGCAGAACACACTCCAAAAGTTTTTTTTTTTTAAAGAAAGACATGGTTTGTGGTTAGACTTTGACTCTAGCCTGGACTTCTATGTGATAGTTGTGACACTAACTTCCTGGGTGGCCTGAGGCAACTCACTTGATCCTTCCTTGCCCAAGGCACCCCTATCAATATAATGGCATTTACCTACTTCAAAGGGTCTGTGAAACATAATGTCAGCAAAGGGCTTTGAGGTCCTTGGATGAAAGCCTATGCAAGTACACAACATTAATGCTTTATAGATGATTACAGCATATGCATTCAAATACTAAGCTATTCTAGAAGCATGCAGGTAGAATATGTAAATATACTAGGGTAGGTAGGCATCAAAAGGATACCAAGAGTCCCTTTCAGGGAAGAATGCAATTTAAAGATGAATAAAACATGGAATCAATAGTTTTGCATCTTCTAAACTCTTTGTTATATATATCAAGATAATGCTGTAGCTCCAGGCATTTCAGTATAATAAATAAATGATGACAGAATTTGTACTAGGAGCAGCAGAGAGATTTGTTTGAGTTGACAGCAAGAAAAAACAAAGAGCAAAAGAGACTTCTAAAAATGCCACAAGATATCCAGAATCTTACCTATGCAGTAATTAGTTTGCAAAAAATACACATCCACACCCCAAAATCAACTATCTAAGGATATCCTCCCTCCCTCCCCACTAGATAGTGTTGGGCTATAAATACTCTTTGCATGTGTATATAGCATACGGAGATCACAGGACACTGGTAAACTTGCAAGGCTAAGGACAGATTAAGATGTTTTCAGAATAATCCCAGATTTACTCCTGTAATACTTTACCAAGCAGAAATTAGCATATTTTCAAGGTGCATGTTATAAGATGCTGTCCTTTTTTTCCCCCCACTCTCAACCATGGTAATTTCTTATTGGACATATGTCAATACATTTAAGGAAACATCTGTCCAAATGATTCTTCACTATTGAAGATGAAGGCCCATTTACATGTTGTTTTCAACAGAAGACAGATTAGATGAGATTCCTCATCAGTGACAGCATAAACATAACCAGCTAAAGCAATCAGATCAGCTCATTCAGTAGGCAGCAGGTAAGTGAGCGGAATGATAGGGAGGGACACAGAATTTAGGTCTAGGAGCAGGAGGTTTGTTGAGTCTATGTTCATTGATTCAGTTCTGATTAAAGTAGTGAACTCAACACCCGCCTTCCTTCAGCACCCCATTTAGTATCCATAGGCTGGAGACTGTCTGTTCTGAGACCATCTACCTTTTCTCTAATGTGCCCCTGAAATAGTATATAATGCATTTGGCTTCAGATTGCATTGTCTGAGTGATAAATGTGCACTTACTGTTGTATTATTTTTCTTACAGAATATCAATTTGCTAGACTAAAAGCTATTTTCAGAGTTATCTGCTTTCATTTGTGGAGTTGATTTCTTGTAACAAAAAAGTCAATGACATGGCAAAACAATGCACTTATTAATTCATAACCTATTGTACAGGCATTTAGTTAAAGATTGTTATAATCCTATTCTGTCAAGATGTTTAGGAATCCAGAGGACTTAACTGGGGGGAGGGAAGAGGAGCATTGAAGCTTCTCCTGAGTTCAGAGTTGTGGATTATCAGCAATTCTTTAAAATTTTAAGTGGGCTTTCATTTTCAGTTTACATTCCTTTCTAGTGTTAGGCCCCAACCCAACAAATATTTACATGCCTGAGTAACTTCACTTATGTGAGTAATCTCATTGATCTCAGTGGAGATACTCATATAAATAAAGAAGCTATTTGCATAATTGAGCAGAATTGCACTCTTAGGCCCAATTAGATCTGGTTGAAAAACATCAAAATTTTTTGTCAAAATTTTGTCATAATGAAAACGTTGTCTGTGATTCAGACTTGATTTTTTGATCACTTCTACAACTAGAAAAAAACAAGACAAGATCTAAAACAGTCTTCTGTTGAACTTTTTCAAAATTCACATTTTTAAGGATTTTTCCTCATATTCTGATAGCTTGAAATGTCATGATTAATGTGTTCAAGTGCTGCATTAGATTTATAAAAGATCTCACAAATGCCTATTTTCCTTCTCCCCTTCTTGTTGCAGAAATAGATTCATAAAGTGCTTTTTATTGTTAGAGATATTTCCCTTTCAAATATTCAATTGATGTGCACACACACAGGTACTGAGTACAACATTTGTCCTTATGCGCCATTAAAGTCCTGTAGGCAAGAGATGCCTCTAGAGAGGCCATTTCCAACATTTCCAAAAGCTGCATCCTCAAAGACTTGGAACAAAGAATCTGGCTGACTTCCAAGTATTTGAGGGGGAAAACGACTTGAAACCTACTTAGAAGCAGCCACTATGATTTTGTGATTCTCTAAATTTTTGTAAAAGTTATAGGTAAGATCAAATGTCAAAAGCATGAAACGGATTTATGAGGCCCTTTGAAAGGATTCTTCTGTCCAATAGGATTTCTGATGACTTGTACCCATTACACCAAATGAAAACTTAACTGGAGAACCCAGGCTGTGGGTATCCAATATGAACTGCAAAGTCAAAAATCCCATTACAGAACTATAAAATTCCATTTATGTTTTCTCAAATTAGTATGCATGTACATCGAATAATAATGGTATACTTTTTATGGGGTTTTTCGCATTATTATTTCTTCACAGCAGCTGTAGTGAGACAGTTCCTACCACAAGGTGTTTACGATATAGATAGACAAAGGAAGTACTACAATCTTCCTTCTAAGGATAGAGAACTGAGGCAGAAAGAGATAAAACGATTTGCCCAAAGTTACAGCCAGGCTGAGGCAAAGCTAAAACTGAACCCAAATCTCCCAAGTCCCAACACAGGCACATAAGTTTAAGACAGTCTACTTAACCAATGTCCTATCATTGTAAAGACTACCTTTTATACCCCTGAAATCTGAGCTGTCACACTAGACCCTTCTAATGTATTTGAAACTTTGGTGTATTGGCTTTCACTACAAACACTGCACCCAAACAGCACAAGTAAAACAAAAACTGTTTGATTCATCCTGATTTTCTGTAGTACATAGTTCCTCCAAGTCAAAGGAACACATGATATGGAATGTGGCACTATAGTGAAAGAGCCCTTATACAGAAAGCAAGCCCTTCCTTCCTGGGCCAGAGGTTAAGAATGTCTGACTATTTTCTTTTTGTTGTTTTGTTTTAAAAACACACGCTCTTCACAGATCCTTGCAATTGCATGTCAGCAGAATTATAAAAATGGCACAAATCTGAAATAATGCTTTGCTGTCCAAAACCTTGAAGCAGTCACACTAGTCTTGAAAAGCCTGTATCTTCTTTATGTCAAAAGGTTGAGCTTTACTGAAGAGCAATTGGTATGTTTAAAAATAAGCACAGCTGAACAAGATAATGATTTTTAATTTAATGTAATAGTGCTTTTGTCATACAATTCACAATTTCTAACAGAAAGAAGAATGAAACAGAGAAGACCAATCAAGAAAATCAGCTAGCTGCAGCATGCTAGCCCGTGCAGGTGTCCACATGTAAGCCATCATCTGTAAGCATTCAGAACCTTATCAGGCTTGTATTGGAACAGCTTCACAGGAGTTTCAGATTTCTCTGAGTGGAGAAAAACAATGGACTCAAACACGACCTCAGTTTGGAACTGTGGAAAATCATCAGTGCCATAAAAATAGTCAACCATTTCAGCACACCAACGTATAGCCATGAGGGTAACAGTGAAATCGCTACTGAAAAAAGAAAGCTTTCCAAAATGAGAGCAGTTGTACCACTTTTAAAAGCTTTTGTTTTTAACAGGAATTACTTACCTTTCACATGTCTATGTATACCTTTGTTTTTAGATATAATAGCAGAATATTAAAAAAACAAGGATTCTGAAGCAGCTATTTAATAATTACATTGTAAAGAATGAATATATAAGTTCTGGTGTTTTTAATGGTATTGTATGTTTATATATAACCATAATTATTCAGTTAATTTTGCTAAAATATTAAGAAAAACAAAATATAGAGGGCTACAGGTGCATGTTCATTTATGGATGGAAAAGATGTTGTTAACTACAGTACTAAACTGTTTGGAAAGCAAAATGACAAACTAGACTTTAGAAAATAATTTTGAATGTCTTTGTTCATTTTTAGTCATGTTGTATATCACAAAAACATCTTAGTAGAAACATAGCTGGTAACCTTTGATTGCTATGTTTATAAAATAGCAAAGTGGCTGTATATTTTGTAAAAAAATATGCACTTCAAGTATCATGTTAATGTTTCATTTTAAATACACTTTGTACATTTTTTAATTTTATATTCTTTACATATAAAGGGCCTTGCATCCAAAGATAATGGAGAACTGGTCTACTTTCTTTTATAAATTTCATATGGGATTGATGTAAAAAAAATCCCCCTCGATTTCTGAAATAACTAAATAAAATTGCTGTTCATTTGGGGTAACATTCTCAACAGTTTCTTACAACACATTCTCTTTCTGAAAATATTGAAATAATTCTGATATTAGCAACCTATTACAAACTACTTCCACATACCTATCAGACAATAGAATACCAGGATGCTGTATCATGGCACCATGATAACATGCCACAAGGCAGTTGCAATATAGCACCAAAATGGTTAATTAAATGCAAGTCTTATAAACCACATTAAGCCTTTTAAAAGGTAATTCTCTAGCAAGTAAAATTAAATTGTACAAGCAGCAACCTTGGCAGCAAAGAAAGTGGTCTTGTTTGAAGACCTATTTGAAGAGCAAAAGCCTAACCCAGCATTAACTCCTTCCTTGCAAAGATAAGTACTATTGATTAAAAACCCGATGCTCTGTTGAGTTTAAAATGGACATAGGCTAAGGACAGAAATTACACAAACCAGGATAAGCAATCGGAAACTGCTTCGAATCTGTAACACAACAGAAGTTCAGTGCACATAAAGGATTTTCAAAGTGGCCAAAATTGGTTTAAGGTAAACCTGGGTGGATGCAGTATCAGACTTAACTATTTAGGTTACATCAGTTTATCAAAATTCTGTGAGATCCCCTCTAGATTCAAGTTAACTCACAGTCCCCTCAGCATCCCAGGATGTTTTATAACTCCCCTGCAATATGTCCTGATTTGTGTGTGTTTGCATAGTGTGCATAGAGGTGATTGCATAATAGCTTAAAATGAAGTCTTACTCTTGTATATTGTGGGGGGCTTGGGGTGTGGAGGGATGTGGGGAGTATGGGTGGGTTAGTATGAGATTCGTGGGGGGGCTGTGGGGGGGTGTATGTGGGGCAGGGTGTGGGTGTGTGTGGAGGTTGTGGAGGTTGTGTGGTTATGGGGTTGGAGGATTGTATATGGGGTGTGGGGGAATGGGTGTATGTGGATGTGGAGGGCTTGTGGGGGTGTGCATGGATATGGGGTTTGTAGGGGATGTGTGTGTGTGTGTGGGGTTTGTGGGGATGTGTGTGTGTAGAGGGGTTGTGGGGGCTGTGGATGGGGAGGGTGTGTGGGGTGTGCATGGGGGGATGTGGGTGCATGTGTATGGTGGAGTATGCATGTAGGGCCCCCACTACAAACACACCCTCCTTACTCCCCACATTGCATACAGCGCCCACTGCCAGCAGAAGCAGCAGCAGGCCCTTGGGGCACTCATGGTCCACAGCAGTCAGGGCCTTCTTGGTGGTGCACAGTCCTGGCAAGCCCCAAGACTGCACGTGGCTGGGCTGCTAGCTCCCTTGCACAGGACTCACATACAGTTCCTGGGTTCTCTGCCCAAGTCCCACACCACCAAGGGAAGCCCCACACAATGAAGTTGGCAGTGCAGGTCATGGGGTTTGATCGGGGTGGCAGAGAGAGGGGCAGAGCCAGATTGGTTCCATAACACAGAGCTTCCTGCCATTCCCCATAGCTCGCACATGGCAGTGAGTGGGGCCAGGCCCCTGGCTCCATTGTGCAGGGCACCCCTGGAGATGAACAGCTTGGGTGGAGAACATGGGAATTGCATACAAGCCCCAGGGAGCCCCACACGATACAACCAGTTGGACCCTATGCCCCCAGTGGCCTGAGCTCCATGCTTCTGCCAACCCACCCTGCCCTGGGCCTCCACTGGCCACAGCCCTGGGGCACCAGTGCAGGCTCTGCACTCCCACCTGCCTCCTTGCTGCTGCTTCACTGCCACCATTTCTGCTGCTGCTACGTCTTCCCCTCTGCCTGCTGCCATCACTTCCCCCCCATTTGCCTGCATCTGCAACTCCCCCCACCCATCACTGCTTCCCTACATGCAGGGCTGGGGTCAAGGCCATCCCATGTGCAAGGGTGGGAGCGCAGCATGGGCTGCCACCACAGGAGTGAGTGGGACTCATCCCCCTGCAAGCACAGCAGGAGCAGCCTGGGGCTGGGCCGGGCCAGGTACAGTGAATTGGTAGGCACTCACCCACAGACCAGATGAAGTTTCCTGGTGGGCTGCGTCTGGCCCATGGGCCATATTTTGCCTTCCCCAGCTCTAGAGTCCCCATGGCTTTTTGCTGCCACTGCAGGTGCATGGCTGCATTTCCAGAATCAAAAGTGAATGTCTGTTCACTTGCTTATTGGTTCAATCTATACAATTTAGACTAACCTGTGAAGATTGAATTGATTCAGCCTAGGGCTTTTTGATTGTTTGCACTTACCTGAAATTGCAGCATCCCATATAACTCATCCTACCAGTCACATCAACAGGAATTTTGCTATCAACTTCAGGGAGAACAGAATTGGGACCAAGGGGTCTCATTTGCAATTGACCTCATGAATTGTGTGCATTGCATTTCTGGGATGCATTATCATTTAGAGTGTAGAATTTACCCCTGCAAGCTCCATGGATTTTGCATGCAAAAATGTAATCACCTACACACACGTGCGCGCGCGTGCAAGACAGCTGGATCATGATCCTGCCAAAACTAGCTTGAGCAAGAAATACCATTAAACTGAATCTAACTATCTCTGTGTGTGGCTGTGAGATCAGAGCCACCAAGAGTGAATATCTATAGGCTTTTGAATAAACAAATGGAGGCTGTCCGTTAAAAATCAGAACACAAGTATACAAGGAACTCATCTAATGTCACTAAAAATCCAATTCACATATACATGCATATCTCAAGCTGCCAAATTCAAAACTCGGGTTTTTGAAATGTGGAAAAGATATCCAAGAGCACAGAAGGAGTTTATATGGGGTCTTTAACTTAACACATTTTATTTGAAATTCAGTTGTCTTTAAATTAATTTGCTATTTAGAAGGAAATACAAAATAATGTAATAGTAGGTCAGCAGGAAATGGAGATAAATGTGAAGCTGTGGTGAGAAACAGAGTGGCATGTTCCCAAAGCATGCTAAACTAATTGAATTCTCTTCTTCCAGTTTGGAAAAAAGAAATTATAGGAGAATAAAACTTGGTAATACTTCCTTAATTCAACTTACATAGTCTATAAATATCACAGTCATATTTAGCTCTGGGATTTACTGTCACCCCGGGCAAGATGTGGTCCTCAAAATTCAAACAGTTGCAGAAGTACAACACACTTTAATACATTATGTATTTTTTATACTGGTGTTGCTGTTCTTGAAAATTTTTATCTTCTTTTCTTTTATATAGCAACAGTGATAAACTGCAATTTTTTCCCATGAAATATGATTTTTTTTATATTAAAAACATCACAACATGCTTCTATATTTAGTTAAGTACCCAGTCACTGCTGCTTAAGTCAACGACGATGGTGCTTTTATTTCATTTGGACTGTTTGAGACTGAGGTTGTTGACAGCTTTGTCCACCCAAACATTGTTGTTTCCACACTGTCACTACAGGTTTCACCTTCTGTAAGTTAGACTTGAATAGATTACATAATCATACAAAGTTTTAAAATACAAGAGATTAAGCTAAAAACACATTTATTGCAAAATGTATTTTAGATCAGCTTAAATATGATATAAATATCAGTATTTTAATGTAGATGTGCTATTCAAAAAATATGTAACCCTACACAGGTGTTTTTCTGGAAGAAATTCATTTTTCTTTATATAGCGTACACACATGTGAGTGCAAAATGTCTGTTCAGGACTATTCAAAAAGCACTGAACAATAGAGATAAAACATGCACATTTTGGTGCAAGTACATGGTATGTGCTCTTAGCAGGGGTTTTATGATTTTTCCCTTATCTAAATAAAACCTATTATTAATGTTGGTCTTTTTGTGGAAACGAGACACCAGGGAAATTCTACTCAAGATGGAGGAACAGTGTATAAACCTAAGGAACAAAGTTATTCTTAAATAAAAAACAGAATATATGCAATAAGATGAATTTCATAGGACCACTACAGTGAAAAACATTAATTTAATTTGTCTGAGTCTTTATTGACCTGGCTGAGACCCAGTAGATAATCACAACCCAGGACCTCAAATCTGCAAGTACTATGTATTGTTTATATATAATGCCACTAAGCCCCGGGTCTCCTCATGTACAACATATGTAAGTAACTTGATGTAAGTGTTTTCAGAGTCACACCTAAGTAGGGCTGTAATGAATGGTTCAAAACTTTGGTGTGCTAACAGAAAGTGGTGTTTGTGCTTCATTCAGATCCTGCCCTTTCCCATGGTGAAATACTATAATTAGGGACCTTCCCAAGTTGTGGCAGGAAAACGGGTTTTTCACAGCCTGCTCACGGTGCACATTTTGAGGGCAGTCTGCAATTTTGAGCTGATTTTGAGGCCATTCTGCAGTGGCCCGGCCCCTCACTGCTAATTGGTGTGTGTGTGTGGGGGGGGGGGTTGGTTGATTTTGTTG